AGGGAGGACAGAGAAGGCGGGACTAAGGAGAGAGAGAGAGTAGTGTGCAAGGAGGACGCTGGAGAAGAATACAGACATAGCCGAGGGTGAACAAAAAAAATAAATAAAGAAAGAAAGTGAAGAAGAAGAAGAGTAAAGGAAGGGGAAGTAAGCGGCGAGGGTGACGAAGGTGATGGTGCCGGCAGCCATAGCCGAGGTGAAGGGTTGACCGGGCGTTGACCAGAGCGTTGACCAGAGGGTTGACCTGGCGTTGACCAAGGGTGTTGACCAAGCGTTGACTGGGGGTTGCCCGTGTTGACTCAGCGTTGACCAAGGCGTTGACCGGAGCTGGTGACCAAGATTTTGACCAAGCTGGAGTTGGTGATATCTCGCTGAGCCCTTAGCCTATCCCCTTACCATGTGGATGTGCACTTACCCCACGGTACTTGCAGAGTTTGAGTCTGTCTGTCTTTCCTTTCTGCATTGAGTCTCTTCTGTCTTAGGTGATAGCTCTCTATGGATGAAGGATAGGGCCTTGCTGCCAAACCTGCACGGGACTTAGTAGGACTAATCTCTACTCTGGCATCTGGAGACCTCAGCATGAGCGGCGAGCGCTCGTTACACAACTCGTCTAGCCCAATAACCGGTATTGTCCGACAGGTCTACTTAGTTCAATGTAGAGGGTCCGAACTCCGAGCTGTAGGCTGAAACGAAGGTCGTCTTTAAGTGTAGAGGCCTGGTTGAACCACTCCCCTACCGGACCTAGTAAGGTCGATGATCTGTGCCTGACGACTCGATTGTCCCGAGGGATACAAACCCCTCCAAGGACTGATACAGACCGACGGGCTGCTCGGTGTGGCACAGTAGGCCGGAACGACTGAGTTGTGGGCTGAAATCGCCACGAAGAACTACGCTGATCACGTCGTCCTGACTGCGACGTTAAAGAATTCTTGCGGAGTTTGGGGGATCTCCTTAAATGCCTCCTGATCAGCTGTTAGTTCAGTAGTGACAGCCTTAGAGTAGTTGTGAGTAGTGGATCTTAGAGAGTCAGACAGTAGGTTAGTGTGTCCGAGTAGGTCTAAGTGGTGAGGAGTGGGACGTTGTCGTGCACCTAACACCACGATGGACGACTATCTGATGTATGGGTTGCTCGTTGGGTTCTCCCTCTTAGGGACCCTCTGGCGTCTCCTCTTTCCTCCGGAGTTCTGGCACACCTTCACGTGTAGAGTAGATACCCGGGGTGGTGCCTCCACCAAATCATACACGAAGGAGGAGGAGGAGAAGATGATCGCCATCTTGCAGGAGAGGAAGGAGAAGAAGGAGTCCAAGAAGAAGGCCTTGAAGGAGGAGCAGGCGGCCAAATTGAAAAAGATAGAAGAAAAGATGATCAGAGAGAAGAAGAGGATACAGAAAGAGGAGGAAGAGAAGTTGAAAGAGGTGGAAGAGGAGGAAGAAGATGAAATGTCACTGCAGAGGAAGAGGGGGCAGTACAGTGGAAGTAGGGATGAGGAGATGGAGAAGCGGATCTCAGAGTGGGTCGCCAACTTATCCCTGGGCGAAGAAGAAGAAGTGGCGATGTATATCCCTAAGGACGATCAGGAAGCCGCTATGAGAGCTTGGGAAGCAGAAAAAGATGTTGTAAAGCCGCAGGCAATGAAAGATGAGAAGAGAATGGAATGGAGGTTGGCAGTGATGAGGGAGAAGAAGAGAAGAGTGGATGTGGCAGCGGAGGCGGCAGAAGAATTAAAGGAGGTAAAAAACATAGAAGAGCAACTAGCCGCCCAGACTGAACTCCCAGCCCAAATGCGAGTCATAGCTCGAAATGTTGCACGCCTGGCATGAATTCAAGCGGAGCAATATGACTTTAGTCGGAGTTAACACATAGCTGTGCGTTCAATAAAGTTGGGATTCCGGGACTTTGCTCGAGAGTTGGTAGGCGCTATAGGCACTGAGGTGGGTCACCGCCTCGACAAGACTGAGCGGTTTTGCGCTAGCGCCATTGAGGGCGTCAAGGCGGCAGACCCCAACGAGGAGGAAGCACGTCCTCCTCGTCGGGAACCGGTCAAGGTCAAATTCTTTGATTCCTACAGTAGGAAAAGGGAAGAGAACTTTGACAACTGGGAAGCCAATGTTAAGACCTATGTGCACTTGCAACAGGTCTCCCCGGACCAGCAGGTTCTAATTGCGATCCACGCGCTGAGAGATGAGGCCGCCAGTTTTGCAAGGTCCCTAGTTCGCGCTGCAAACTGTAGTGACGATCCCGTTGCGCACTCCTCGTTCACGTCCCTCACCGAATTTCTGAAGTTGTTGCGCGAGAGATTCGCTGATGTCGCCCGCAGCGTTAAAGCCTCAGATAGGCTGCAGACGATCCACTCTCGTAAGTGGAAAAGTGTCAGGGCCCTTAAGAGTACAATGGATGAGTTAGTGGTTGTCCCTGACCACGGGGTTACAGACACCCAGTTGGTCGGCCTCTTCTATCGGGCTATACCCGAAGCCCTTCGAGGGCATTTCTTCGTAAAGAGTGAAGACCCTGCCACTACGTACGATTCACTTAGTCGTGAGGTGGTGGCCTTTGAGGCCAAGTCTATGTCAGTTTCCACCTTCTGGCACAAAGATTTGGATAAGGGAAAGCAATAGAAGGGCCGCACTATTTCTGGGCAGGTAAAGACCAAGGACCGCCTTGTCCTGACCTTAGATGAGGGTAGTGTAGATGAGATCCCCTTCAAATAGATCGAGTGGGGGTTAGAGGAAGAGGACAGCGGTGTGGGCTAAGGGAGGACTTACGCTGCTGTCGCGGCTGGAGGGAGGCCGCAAGGAGGACGAGGTCAGGTCCAAGGGGGCCGGGCCTCAGGGAGCCGATTTCAGGGCGATCAGGGGGTTGGCGGTAGAGGAGGAAACCGCCAAGCGGGAGGCAGGGGTCAAGGTCCCCCCGCAAAACCGTCCTAGGAATAGGTCTCCCTATAGGGTAGGAGGATGGCACCCGGGGCTACCACAGGGTAGGCCTTGGGAAACTTTAGGTCTGGACCAAACTTTATGGCAACAACGATTGGACCGGGGCCAGTGCATTTTTTGCGGTGACCCGGGCCACATCATTAAATATTGTCCTAAGTATCGCGAGACCCGAACAGCTGCCCAAGGGTCAAAAGGCAGCCGCCGGTAGAGGTAGCAACTGCCCCTACCATTAGGCCATGTGGGGAACATAGCGCTAGCCGGCAGGAGACTCCCATACCACATGTGCCTATGGCAGAGGTTGCAGGCCGGTGTCTAGATAGCTGCCCAGAGACCGCTTGTATTAGGGTCTCTCTAGACACCTCCCTCACAGGCGTAGCCGAAGAGTTGAAGGAGAGGAGGCCCGCCTGGGCCAAGATGAAGAAGGAGAATAAAGGGCAGCTGATCTTACTAGATACAAAGATTTTTAGAGGTAGAGTAGGGGCCCTAGTAGACTCAGGGGCCACCCGCAGCTATATTAGTAAGAAAGCGCTGTAGAAATTGAGGCTGGGACTTAAAGTCCAGAAATTAATAGACCCCATAGTTAGTATCCTCGCAGACAATCGTACCATGGTTGTAGAGGAGTACGTAGAGGGAGTCCAGGCGTATTTCCGCCTAGAGAAAGATGGAAAAGTGGAGAAGGTCCTCCACTCCCTGACTCTTCTCGTAGAAGACAGCCTCCCATTTGATATTGTTCTGGGAATGGATTGGGGAGAGGCAGTCGGGGCCACGCTCCATTTGAAGGAGCACGAGTGTAGGCTCCCTAGTTCTTCAGGCGAGGCTAAGACTGGCCGCCTTTTTCACGTGTTAGGAGTAGAGAATCCACTGGCACATTGCTGCCTTAGTGCGCCTGCATTCGCCAGATTAGAAAAGAAGGAGAAATTGGAGGAACAGGTTTTTGTTGCCTATGTTAGGCCTGTCACCGAGCCTAAGGAAGAAAAGCCTATAGACCCTGCTATTGCCAAGTTGCTGGAAGAGTTTAAGGACCTAGCTGAGTCGCCGACAGAGACAGTGTCGTGGCCCATCCAGCACCGTATTGAGATAGAACCGGGCAGTAGAACTCCTAAGGGTGTTGTGTATAGGATGTCCCCACGGGAGTTAGAGGAGCTTCGCAAGCAATTAGACGAGCTCCTCGAGAAGGGTTGGATTAGGCCCAGTTCGTCTCCTTTTGAAGCGCCTGTTCTCTTTGTTCCTAAGAAAGAGGGAGAGTTGAGGATGTGCATAGACTATAGGGGTCTGAATGCTATTACAGTAAAGAATGTTGAGCTACTGCCTAGGATAGACGATCTCTTAGATCGAGTGCAGGGGCCGAAGTATTTTTCCAAGATATATTTGAAGTCCAGATATCATCAGATAGAAGTGCATCCTCATGATCAGTATAAGACAGCCTTCCGGACTAGATATGGGCACTACGAGTTCATAGTAATGCCCTTTGGACTAACCAATGCGCCAGCTACATTCCAGCACTGTATGAACGATTTGTTTAGGCCATGGTTAGACTGATTTGTTGTAGTTTACCTAGATGACATTCTAGTGTTTAGCAGGACCCTCGAAGAGCATCAGGGTCATCTAAGGCAGGTCTTGGAGAAGCTGAGGGAAGCTAACTTCAAGATCAATGCGAAGAAGTGCGATTGGGCGAAAACCCAAGTTTTGTACTTAGGCCACGTCTTAGACGGAGAYGGCGCTAAGCCAGAGGATAGCAAGATCGCAGCGATTAGAGATTGGCCCACGCCACGTACGCTGACAGAGTTGCGCTCGTTCCTGGGCTTAGCTAATTACTACCGGAAGTTCGTGAGGAACTTCTCTACCATCGTTGCACCCCTTCGCAGATTGTTGAGAAAGGAGACCATCTAAAAGTGGGATAAGGACTGCACGTCTGCCATGAAGAAGTTAAAACAGGCATTGATAGAGCATTCAGTCCTTAAAGTCGCCGATCCGTCCTTGCCCTTTGTCGTCACGACCGATGCGAGTCAATACGGCATAGGCCCAGTGTTACAGCAAGACGATGGCGATGGGTATAGACCCGTAGAGTTCATGTCCGCCAGAATGCCTTTAGAGAAGGTCGCGACATCTACCTATGAGAGGGAACTCTATGCTCTCAGGCAAGCCTTAGACCACTGGAAACACTACTTGCTTGGGAGGCACTTCAAAGTCTATTCCGACCATGAAACGTTATGATTGTTAAAGACGCAGGCCAAGATGACACCTAAGCTTACTAGGTGGGCCGCAGAGATAGATCAGTACGACTTCGAGCTCAAGCTTGTCAAAGGGAAGTACAACGTAGTCGCGGATGCTCTGAGTAGAAGAGTTGATTACTTTGGGGCAATAGTACATTACCTCGATAAAGGGAAGGATCTGCAGCAGAAGGTTAGAGAAGCCTACGCGCAGGACCCTATCTACAGTGACCTCCTCAAAAAGGTCAAGGAGACCCCAAAGACTGAACCGAACTACCTCACTACTGAGGGGTTGCTCTTTTAGAAGACTAATGTTTTTTACCGGCTGTGCATCCCCAATAGTGAAGAGATCCGTCGTTTGATTTTAGGGGAATGCCACGACACAGCGGGTCATTTCGGTTGGCAAAAGACTTTAGCCAATGTGATGCGCGCGTATACCTGGCCGGGGATGACGAATGACTGCGTAGAGTACAACAAGAGTTCTACGCGCGCCCCGCTAGGTCTTCTCAGACCCTTGCCCATTCCAGATCAGCCGGGAGACTCAGTGTCCATAGACTTCATGGACACTCAAGTCAAAAGTAGGCATGGCAAGAGCCAAGTCATGGTAATAGTTGACCGTTTTAGTAAGTACGCAGTTTTTGTTACGCAGTTTTTGTTCCTTTGCCTTTAGAGGCACGTATTGATTTAGTCATACAGAGATTTTTTGACTGTTGGGTGAGTGAGAATGGAATCCCACTGTCTATAGTTAGCGATAGAGATAGTCGCTTTACTAGCCAAAACTGGCAAGAACTCATGGGAGTATATGGATCTAAGTTGTTGATGTCGTCCGGCCGTCATCCAGAGACTAACGGTCAGATAGAGCAAATGAGCAAGATCCTCCAGCAAGTTCTGCGTATGTACATTAGGCCAGATCAGATTAATTGGGACGAGATGTTGCCTAAAGTAGCTAGTGCGTATAATAACAGCGTGCATTTATCCACCTGCCGCACTCCCAACGAACTGCACAAGTCCTTTAGACCGCGCAGACTATTTGAGGGACTCAACCGGGATCAGATTCACAGACTACCGCCCGGGACCAGGGAGTTTGCTGTACAGCACGAGAAAGAACTAGCTACTGTTGTAGAGAACCTCAGGAAAGCCCAGCATAGGATGATAGAGCAAGCGATCAAACATCGTCGCCCCTCACAGTTTCAAGTAGGCGACTTAGTCTGGGTCAGTTCTAAGGAGTTTACACATGAGGAGAACATCTCGCAGAAGTTACTGCCCACATATAGAGGACCGTGGCCCGTTCTAGAAGTCAAGAGCGGCGAAGATGGACCGTCATATACCATAGAACTTCCAGCACACCTCCACACTTACCCAGTTTTCCATGCATCGAAGTTATTACCTTGTCAGACAAGTGATCAGTTTCCATCCCGTAGATCAATGATCCCACCGGATATGGATGGGAGATATGACATCGATGGTATAGTGGTTGAAGATGTCTTCAAAACTGGAGGTAGGGGTCGTCCGCAGAAACAGTATAAGGTTCATTTTAGTTACCAAGAACCGGAAGACGACCGCTGGTTTACACGATCTGAACTTCTAGAGACAGCTCCCGATATAGTCCGGGCTTACGAGAGACAACAGTGAGGTAAAGGTCCTGGTGGGAGTGAAACGGTATTCACCAGTTCGCAGTAGCAAATGCAGATCCCAGGTCTCAATCCCTAGTTCCCCGTCTTACATGTGTACAGTACCAGTGTCAACCCGTAGA